GAGACAGAGATGACTCTGTGAGTATATGGAACAAGATAAAAATAAGGTGATTACATAACCACAGAGATGCCCAAATATCTCCTTCTTTTGTCTGATGTGAATGATGTTTGCTTTGTTACCAATGACCTTGCTAGACCCACTTTATTCCTTCAGCATCCTAGATAAATATTATTAAAATTTATACATTAATAATATAGTAATAATCACATGATACTAATTTTATATTATATAATACATATAATATATATTATATACTAGTAACACATTTTTATATAGTGTACATTATATATAGAATATAATATGCATTAAAATATATAATAATAAACAATTTTATTTATATAATCATACATTTATTTATATTATATAGTTGTATTTATACTTTGTTTATATGTATTAATATAATTAATTCTATAACACATAATTGATTGCATTAACATTTGTGTTATTATTACTGTAACACTGCTTCTCATTTTTGACAGCTCTAGCCCAGGACTGGCCCCTGCTTCCTTAAACCACTCTGCTTAGAATTATCCAGCATAGGCCCAAATTTCCTATGAATGCCGTTCCAAGTCCCTCTTACTAAGATGCCCCGAAGTTGCTCTGGATTGTGTTCACCCTTGCTGTACCTAAATACATAAATATGACTTTGGTTAGGTGTTCATTTATGGTTTTTACCGCAGGCATAATATAATTCAGCCAGAGTCTGAAGATGAGCATGTCTTGAGCATATTTTTACTCCTGTGTAACCTTAGGCAAGCATTTCTAGCACCACTGTGATCTTAGAGTCCTCATCTATAATGTAAAAATACAATGTCCACTGTTTCATTTCTGTTGTTTTGAGGATCAAATGAGGAGATAATTTTTTTTACACAATATAAAATGATATTCAAATTTTAGTTGCTAATGCTGTCATATTCCATTGTCCTATTATTTAGGCAAAATTCCCTTTCTGTTTATCCATTGCCTACTGAGCTCTGGCCCTTTGCACTAGCTTTCTTTGGATGAAAATACCACCTTCTGCACTGCCACCTAGTGATTAGTCTGATTGCTTAATATCAACGCTGTATTAATTAAAGAGGCAGTGTTCCAAAATAAATTGCTGTGGTTTCTATAGATACCTCCATGATTTCTGTGGTTGATATTTTTTGGTTGACTCCACTGACCCTGATTTTAAATAGCTTATATGAAGCAGAGTATAACCAGCAAGTTCTCTAATATGTGTTATGTTTCCTGAATATAGTTTTATTCTTAACTAGGTGAAGTACCCAAACATATCAGACTTCTATAGTCATAATTCCTAAGCAAAAGCACGATTCCATTTCAGACCTAATAAATCAAAACTCTAGGACTAGAACCCAATAACCTGCATGTTTTAGAAATACCCCGCTTCCTAACCATGCTAAAGAGAGAGATTTTGGTTGAAGGTACAGAAAGCTATGCTCTTGACAAATTTTATCTGCATCTTAAATTCTAAAAAGAGTTTCACCTGTGGCATAAAACCTTGCCTATCAAATCACAGAAGGAAAGCAAATCCATAAACTAAAACCATTAACAAATAACCTAAACATTTGTTTTAAATTTTCCAAGAATACCATAGTATTTCATTTTATTTATTTATTTTTCTTCCAAGATTTTATTTAAATTCAACTTAGTTCACATATAGTGTACTGTTGGTTTCAGGAGTAGAATGTAGTGACTCATCAGTTACATACAACACCCAGTGCTCATCATGAGTGCCCTCTTCAATGCCCATCCCCCATCTAGCCCACTCCCCACCCACGTCCCTCCAGCGACCCTCAGTTTGTTCTCTATAGCTAAGAGTCTGGTTTGCTTCCCTCTCTGTTTTTATCTTATTTTATTTTTCTTTCCTATCCCCTATGTTCATCTGTTTTGTTTCTTAAATTCCACGTAAGAGTGAAATCACATGGGGTGTTTGTCTTTCTCTGCCTGACTTATTTCACCTAGTGTAATACACTCTAGTTCCATCCACATCGTTGCAAAAATACCATAGTATTTCAAAGTAAAAAGGGTCATGAAGAAAAGTGAAGCATTCACTTACTCCAGAAAAAAAGGTGATGTAAAAAAATTATTCAGTTGTAATTTATGAGATTGGAAATAGATTGATTACAAAAATGGCCCAGCTTCCCTAACACTCTTTGCATCCTTGTACTTTGTACATTTTTTTTGCTCCCCCAAAAAAGTGTTACAAAAAGTCTTTTAGTTGTAATTTTTAACATGTATAACATATGGTAGACTGCAAAAGTTTTCCGATTCTCTAATTCACCCTCACTTCCGAACTAAGGTATCAAGAGGCTTTTCATGTTTCTGCTGCCTCTGGGATCTCTGCCAAATGAGAAGCTGGAGGAAGAGAGCCCAGACTCAGGAGAAGGTGGGGTCGTCCTTGCTTATCCATCCCCCAGCTGACCTGCAAACACATGGAAAAGCCCACCAAACATCCACAGATTTAGCCCAATCTACAACGGCCAGCTGACCTTCAGACTCGTGAGTACTGATTATGCTTATGGCTGAATACCACTGAGTTTTCAGGGGGTTTATTACACAGCAATAGCTAGTTAATACATTTATATTAAAATTTAGAAGTCCTTTCATATATAACCAAGATAGCTCATTGGAACAACAGCTGGTATTAAAATTAAAGAGTTTGGCTTATATACAAAATAACTCTCAGCATATAAATAAAGTAATACTGTTGGGCCTTCAGAGAAGAAAAGTAAATAAATAAATAGATAAGTAGCTGAGGATGAGTATTTCTCAGACATTCTCTATCAGCCCTACTATGGTTTATACCAGCTTTAAAATTGTTATCATTAATATAGAACAGGAATCAGAAAGCTTTTTCTGTAATGGGCCAGATGGGAAATATTTTAGGTTTTTGGGCATCCAGTCTTTATCACCACTACTCAAACTTGCCATTTTAGCACAAAAGAAGTCGTAAGCAAACATTAGTGAATGGGTATGGATGCGTTCCAATAAAAATTAATTTACCAAAACAAGAGCAGGCCTGACATCGGAGTTAATCTCTTTTTTACTGCTTACAGTTAGGAAATCTATGTGTAGTAAAATTGTTGAGACCATCTGAGGACTTGGCAAATAATATGGAACCTTGGGAATCACGTGTGTGAAACCCAGAATTTAAATATTCTTTTGTGGCTTAGGATGCATGTTTTCTAGATTTTTCCTGAGTACAGTTTTGCTTTATTTTTCTGTTTTGTTAGCATTTTGTCTTAAATCCAGTTTACTATTGTAATTGCAAAATATATTTATTATCTAGTGGACAAAAGAACAGTTATTTACCAGTATTTCTCAGTGTTCATGCATGACCTAATTTAGTAACAAGCAAAGTAGATCTTTTATAAAATGTTATTTCTTCATCCTGTAATTACCCAAATAAGTTATTTCATGGGTATTGCCACTTCAGCATTAAATATTGACCCAAATGTTGATCTCTCATATATTTAAATTAAAAAAAATATGTTGTGACAGAGGATTAGAGCATGTATTTTTATTACATGTCAATTATTATATTTTCTTATTTGAAAATATTGTCTTCATTAAGAAAATAATAAAACAAAATTAATATATTTTCCTTTGCCCTAGCCATTTGGACACTATTAGCATATCTTGTAACTCAGAAGACACATTTCTAAAAGCTTTGCATTCTGATATAGTAAGTCACAAGTAACAAGAGAGTTTTCTGGAAGTCTGAGTAACGGGAGCATCCTAAAAGCTGTGCATTTTGAAATATACCACGATAAAACCGTTTGGTTTTTAATGACACCAGCATTATCCAGTCAAAAATTTCAATTGCCATACAACAATTTGTATTATAGATAATGCCTTCCTTTTCTATTCTGGAAGCTAGTTGTTCTTTAAATTGGACTCACTCTTATCCCTTGTTATTGCAAGTAGAAATTTAACATATTGTTATTAAATTCTTTTTTTTTTTTTTCTTCTTCTTACAGGAAACTTGGAGGTCCCACCAAGATCAGCCACATGGAATTCACTTACTAGATATGACTAAATACTCTTTGGGTGTAATAACACAGAGGCACCTGCTCTCCACTGACAGCAGAAATTAGTACGCAGAATTTAAGCTCCATTGATCCAGAGTGATACCTGGCTTGATCAAGCAGTTTATTAATTGCCTTCCCTTCCCTCTTTTGTTGGCTCACAGTCTTGGGAGTTCCCAGGAGAAATCTGAAACCGCCCAGTACACAGAGGTCAGGGAGACAGGGAAGACAGAGGGAGGCCACTCCGGACTAGCAGGTGGCAGGTCGAACAGGCAAGGGAATTTACTTACGAGGCTTGTGTCCGTTCGCGGTAAGACAAGTCGATCTCTGCAGCCACCAGCCAGAATCTTAAAAATTTATACAGAAGCTTGACCAGAGTTCAGTCACATGCAGCATGTCGGGGAACAGACGTGACCACAGAGCAAGCTGTGAGCTGGACCCGGCACTGGAGGCTCCTCTCCCCACCCCCATCTCTGGAACGTGGGTTCTGCTCGCCTTTCCTGCTCTCAGACTGCTCGGAGAACACAGCCTTGAGGGTAGTGATGTGGTGTGGAGAACACCCGCTCGGTATACGTGTGGCACCCAGTAAACCCTTAAACTTTTAAGATTTGGCGGGCAGGTGTGTGGATCTGGTTGTCTCGCTGCTCCACGCCCCCAAGGCAAGCTCATTTGTAAGTTTCCTTTGCTTATTAAAACTGCCCGCTTCCACCTTGGAGTGGCCTGCCTCTTTCCTCTGGTCTCTCCCTCCCCCAGCCCACGGAAGATTTCTCCCAGAAAGCTCAGAAGAGAGTTTTGAATCCACACCCGACCAGACGGTCTCAACCCCGCGCTGCTCTCTCAAGGCTGCATCCTTGAAAACGGCTCCCACTGTGGGAGCAGCGCGCAGGGGTACATTCCAAGGACAGGGAGCGGGCGAGGAGCCCCCGACTGTCCAGACCCAGCTCGTGGGTCAGCCGGTGGTCACGGCCTCTCGATGACCTCCTCCAACATGTAGCCCTCCTTCTCCCTCTGCTCCTTTTCCTCCACCTCCCGAATAAGAGGCTTGACCTTCCGTCTTCATCTGGGCAGCGGCCTTGGGAGGAATTCAGTCACCAGGCGAAACTGGTAAGTGTTATCTCTCTGACAATCCTTTTATCAACGGCGATTGTGTTACTCCGAGATAACAAAAGATAATGTAGTTTCCAACATTGTGGATTGTTTTAAATTGTTAAACTTTAATTATTTGGTACTTTCTAAGGGAGGTTGAAATCGATAGAGAAAACCAAAGTAATTAGTCCCAAAGCAGTGTTTTGCTTATTTTTTCTTGTCTATATAAAAACAGTAAATTATGAATAAGATGGTAAATTCATTGTGGTATATGAGTTACTCATAATACGCTTAAAATTACTATACTAAAGCTAATGGTATGGTTTTTTTTTTTTTTAAGATTCTATTTATTTATTTGAGAGAGCGATCGCGAGAGCACAAATGGGGGGAGGGGCAGAAGGAGAGGGAGAAGCAGGCTCCCTGCTGAGTAGTAACCCTATGGGCGCTGGATCCTAGGACTCTGAGATCATGACCCAAGCTGAAGGCAGACGCTTAGGTGATTGAGCCACCCAGGCGCCCCCGCTAATGCTATATTTTATTACATGCGTATTTATGTATTTTAAGAACGTGCATATGTATATTGTCATTATTAATCAAAGTAACTTATAAATAAGGGAGAGGAATCAAACACTAACTTGGAAGAAAATTGTTCTGAAACAGCACAGCAAATATCAGTGTGTCCTGCCCAGAAAACAGATGTTCTCAGCAGAAAACTCTCATTTCCTGAGAACCTGTTAACTTATGGTGCTTTTGATGTTAATTTTATCATGTTCTTGAATTGCTTTTAACAAAAGTTCTGACTTCTACGAAAAATAAAATTCGTAATGGTTGTTTTTCTTCATTTAAAGAATATTGTCTAACAGATTAATTGTATAAATGAGATGGCAACTGTTTCTTGTCCTGAGGTACCTATGGCTTATACTCATTTACTGATGTAATAATAAGTCTTCTCTGATAATTATTTTTTGGTATTGTCTTCTAAAATCAGGCCCCAAATTAAAAGTAGCTGTGGGGAGCACCAAAGGCTCACTCTAGTAATTTGTAATGCGAGGCATTAACATGTAATGTAAGCAATAGTAAAATAAGTAGGTCAGAAAAACATTTATATCTTCTATTTTATTTTATTTTTTAAAAAGATTTTATTTATGTATTTGAGAGAGAGACAGAGAGCATGAGTAAGGGGAGGGGCAGAGGGAGAGGGAGAAGCAGATTGAATGGGGAACCCAAAGCTGGGGTTGATCCCAGGACCCTGAGATCATGAGCTGAGCCCAAGTCAGACACTTAACTGACTGAGCCACTCTATATTTTTAAATAGCCCAATAAGGCAATGAAAAATATTTTTATCAAGACCATAATTTTAATAGAAACATGTCATATATATTATGTTTGCAATTGATATAAATATATTCTAATCACAAATCATGTGGAAACTCTAGCACAGTTATTTGTTAACAAACTGATTTTTAAGGAAATTCTGTTTCTAGGAGTAAAATGTAATTGTCAATGTTGAAAATCTTAACACGTTTCATAGGATAGGTTGGAAAGTCCAGGAGATTTGCAAATGCCCTCACTGGTCATGATGTCTTCTTGACCCTCAGAGTAACCATTAACTGAGTCCATGTGATATAGTTGTATTTCATGCCCCACTAGGGAATTTTATCTTCCTCCATTCTGATCATGTAGTATCTCTCAGTACGTTGTCAGCATTATTCTCTTGTTATTGCTTAAAAGCTCCTGCTACAAGTTGCAAAGCAAAAGCTTAATCTCCTGGGAGAAACAACAAATAAGACCAGTTTCTCAGAATGTTGGCAAAAAAGGTTGTAGCAAGCGCTCTGGACAGGTGATACAGGGAATAGGAAATCGGGCCAGAGGCTCAGGCTCCCAGCACCAGATGGCACTGCCTCTGGAGCAGACACCTCACATATGGGGACTGAGTCAGGATTTCCAGGTTTGTTGCTGAAGTAGATGATTTCAGGAGGTGAGCGGCTGACTCAAGATCAGAAGAACAAGAATCAGTTATGTAGGTCTGGATGGGACCGAAGGAAAGTTTAACTGTATTGATTTGCTTTGAAATGTTAGTGATATTGTTTAATGTTCTTTGTTCTGGTGGGACTGTGAGAAAATCTTTCTTTTTAATCTAGCTATCAATTTAAGAGGACTTATTTGAGAAAATTGGAATGATACAACTTTTGAGGGGTGGCTTCTAGTTGATCTCTCAGAATTCATGAAAAAAAAAAAAACCCTTATGGGAAATCATGGATGTAGTATAAATAAGTAAAAAAGAATAACTAAAGAAGGTGATTCTTTTGAAAATATGACATGATAATTCTTGTTTGAAAAACAATTGATCTAAGTGATTTTTGAGTTCTATAATTTTATGCCAAAAAATTAGTAGGATAATGTAAACAGAAACCAAATTTTCAATCATGGCCATGCCAGAGATGTAATAATAATTCAAGGAGAATGCCATTTGTTTAGATGCAACATTCCAAAATTAAAAAATAAATGCTATGTTTTGTACACAGAGATGATGTCTCCAAACTCTTCCTCTTCAACAGGTCTTTTGCTACTCTGGGGCTTACAAAATCCAGCCTTGCAGGTAATTCTGGTTTCCAGGCTTGGAGTGAATGACAAGAAAAGGAAATGAAGTTATGTTTTCCATGAGAAATATGGTGAGTAATTAACTTGAAGTGCTTTAAAAAGCCTCCTTATTTAGTATTTTCTAGTTTTAAACCCTACCGCAGGATAGCATTATATATTAATCAACACCATCAGTTTTCCCTCTATGAATAATATAGGCAAAATAGAAAAGGTTATCAAACTGATGTTTCTGAATAAGAAAAATCATTATTTTATCAATTCCATGCTTTCGTGGATGGCCACAAGGTGCTGGGATTGTAAATCTACTCTCTTGCCCTTAGCCTTATCACACATTTTGATGGGAGGAGAATAAAAAGTAGGCCAAAAAGAGCTTACATTCCTCAAAATCTGATATAAACAATCACTATAAGAACTTCTTGAAGGCCAGAAAAATTAGAGCATTCCCAAAGCCCTGAATTTTGAGATTGGCCTTTTAAGACAAAAGCATCTTACATTTAAATTGACTGAAGTTGTTGACTATACAATAAATAGTTTGAGCTATAAAAACTGCTTTACCTCTTTGAGAGCCAGTTGTCTTGAAAGTCGGACTCCCTTGTGTATGTTTTTCTATTATTAGAAAACTTTCACTCAGTGCTCACAAGTTGTTTACAAATTTTTTTCTCCAAAAATATGAAATATTCTATCGCATGCCAAATAGTAGCAATTGACAAATACCTGAAACAGATCAGAAAATTTTCAAATTTAAGAAAAATTTTCAAACCTGCAAAAATCCTTTGCCTATGTAAGGATTATCACTTACAACCTTACTTTATGCCTACTAGAGGCTTAAGTTCACTTGGTAGAGGTAAATTGGACACGGATTATATTCCAATAATCTGTTCTTCAATGAAGAAGGTAGAGGAAGAAAATCCTGTTTTATCAAGTAGGAGATTCAAAGGAAACACTACATTTCCTTTTCATTCAAGGTGAATTGATATCTTTATATTCATATATGATAACAGATAGCACTGATTTACTTTGAAATGGATATTTATTTAACAATGTACTTGCCTATGAAATTCATTGCATTTTGTTTATTCAGCAAAGTTTTCCTAAGTGTCAATTATGTGCCCAGCATGATCCTGTAGATCATGATATATCAGTGAGCCAAACACAAACCCCCACTCTTAAAGAGCTTGAATTTTAGCAGCTTGGAGTGAATAGAATCAACAAGCAAAGAACAATAATTATAATACATAAGTGATAGTATAATTATAATTGATAGTATGCAATATTATAATATATCTAATAAATATTATAATAAATAATAATTTTGTAATAAATATGTAAACAGTTGGGTGTGTTATTCAGTGAGAAGATTGAGAAAGGGAAGGTGGAAGAACGCAGGTGGGATGTGAGTGCAGTGGGCACAGGAGGGTGAACATGGCACTTGAATCTGGTGATTTGAGCATGCCTCATTGAGAAAGTCATATTCGAACAAAAATTTGAAGGAGCAGAGGACTTTAACCACGTGAGTACCTGGGTGCAGAATATTTTAGGCAAGGGAACTAGCCCTAAATTAGGAATACAATAGTAGTTTTCAGTGAACATCCAGGTCACCAGTGGATGGAGGCAGCTTGCTAAGAGGGAGGTCAGAGACACCCTTACAAAGCAGACTTTTACTCTGAGAGGAAGGAGGGTCCCATTTCACTGGTATCTTAAAGGGAGCATTCTGCTGATGTGTTAGGAAAATATGATAGGTAGGTAAAGGAAGAGGAGGGAGAACTCTTAAGATGTAATTACAGAAATCCAGGTGGTGACTAATGTGGCATGAATCACGGTGGTAGCATAGGATGTAGGAAGAATATACATAGTATATAATATTATAATATGTATTTATATATTACATATATAGTTACATGTAATTCGAACCCCGATAATATAAATACACTTTTTTAAATGACATATGGAACATTTATAATAATCTACTATAGAAACCACATGTGCAAGCACACACACACCCAACACACACATAAAGTCTTAAAAAAAACAACAATATATAATCAAGCTTGGGTTGAAGAGGATACAAAGTACAAAACTAAGGATTTTAAATAAAAATAAATAGTGGAAGGACACCCCCCCAAATCCATGAAACACAGTTAAAACACTTTCTCAAGAAAAGGTATAGCAACAGATCCTTATATTAATAAAATTTAAAGCATGAAAATTATTGAATAACACACTCAGGTCAAAGGGTCAGGAAATGAGTACTGAAGTAAATAAAAAATAAATCAGATTAAAGGAATTGATAAAAGTAAAACAATTTCTTTCAGCTTCAATGACATAAATGACAAAACTGTAAAGTATTTAGTGTATACCTAATTATTGTGAAAAACTCCCCCCCACCTCCCCGTCTGGAGAGCTAATTAACATATCTGTCACCTCACATTTTTTAGAACATTTAAGTTCTACTATCCTAGCAAATTTCCATCATTTAACAAATTGGAAAATAGAAAAAACAGTGGAGCTAATAAATCCATAAACTAGTTGTTTGAAGAAAATCAACAAAATAGACAAAATAACAGTTAAGAAAATTTAAAATTCAAATCCCAGAAAGAAATCAACTACTTTTGTGGGAAAAATAAAGAAAGAAGTTAATGCATAATAGAGAGGAAGTAGTTACAGAGTTCCCCCATAAAAAGTTCCAGGCTCAGGAAAAAAAAACGTTCCAGGTCCAAACGAATTCATGAAGCAAATCTAGCAAAGAGCAAATAATTATAATGCAATGTAAATTGTCCCAGAGTAAAGAACTAAGAAGGAAAATATCTAAATTTGATATTATGAAACTAGAGTAACTTGGATCCTTAATCCCAGCTAAAATTACACTGAACAGAAAAGCTACAAGCTGATCTTAATTATAAATATTAATGCAGAAATCTTGTGTAAAAACACAAGCAAACAGTTCATTTAAAATAGAAAACATTGGGACCAGGAGGAATTTACTCCAAGGATACAAGGGTGGTTTCAATATTAGGAAATCTAAAAGTATAATCTACTGTGTTGATAGAGCCTAAGGAGGAAAATACAGGATCACCTTCACTGATGCAGAAAAGACATGAGGCAGAATCCAACAGACTTCATGATTAAAAGAAAAGCCAAAACCCAACACATCTTAATAATAGAGAAAATCATAGTTACTTCCTTACTACAAAGTATAGGTATAGAAGCCAAAGGGTGAGAATGAATTTTGTCTTAAGGAAATAATACATAGCTAGTGAATGTAGCTAGCTAAGGAAATAATATGTAGCTAATACTGGAGCTTCGGGTGTGCATGTGAAGAAATGAAGTTAGTTAAGTAGTCTGGGGAAAAGGGTTTGCATGAAATGTTGAGAATATTTTATTTTATCTTGCTATCAGGAAATCTGAATGATCAGTTTTGGATTTTGTGAAGATCGCTGTGTTCTAACGAAGATCAGTAGGCAAGGAGGCAGGGAGGCTGGTACAGTAATGTGGATCTGGAGAGTAGGGATCTGTGTACAGCGGCGTGTGGATAGAATTCCTGAGCACAGAGTAGGACCTTAATAAATACTTAATTCACAAACATACAAAATAACCCAAATAAAACCTACTGGTCTGATTTTATTTAAAAATCTTTGAAGATCTCACAATAACTTGGGATCAATGTTGTTGGTTACAGAAATTATTTTATAAGTACAGATTAATAGAATATTAAGTAATAGGGAGTTTACTTCATGACATATCTTTTCTGTTATTAGGATATAAGATGTGGTTTCCTTTTTTGTGGATATTGTTTTCTTATTTTTTCTTTTAAAGATTTCTTTTTTTGAGAGAGGGAGAGCGAGAGCAGGGGATGGGGAGAGGGACAAAGGAAATCCTCAAGCTGACTCCCTGCTGAGTCTGAGCAGGGGGTGGAGGGGCTTGATCCCAGGACCCTGAGATCATGACCTGAGCTGAAATCAAGAGTCAGACGCTTAACTGACTGAGCCACACAGGGACCCCTCTTTTCTTGCTTTTAAAAAAATATTTAGACTGTTTTGATTTTTTATTTGTATAATTTAAATAGGTGCAGAAATAACAGGAAATAAACTCATTTAACAAACAAAGCTTACTGCACTTAGACAATGCCAAAAACAAAATTTATAGCATGTGAGAAAAACTTTTCAAGGGCACAGACTCTGTGACATGATTTTTGTCTAGCATCTATACAGTGTTATTTTCTACATCCTGTATTTAATGACATGAAAGAAAGGAATCACAGACGCAGCTTCATATATTTACATTTTAAAGCCATCCTTACAAGAGTTAACACTTGTCACTCTCTACTAATGAATTCTCATATTTTTCTTTGATTATGAGCAATGTACGTAATTTCAGCTTCAACTTTTTCATCTCAGTGGTTTCTCTTATCATCACAATATTTAAAGAAGGCTGTTAGAGATAAATACAAGGAAGTATGCTATGAATTGTTAAATGATGATCTACATAGTAGAATTTTACGTGGGAAACCATTGGTTATATAGAAGTGAAGCAGCTTTGAAAGATGTAAAAATTTTGGCTAGGCACAGATTAAGTGAATTCCAATCCTTTACTTCATATCCCATGGAAGGGTTCCAAAAAAAAAAGGAAGATTGATTTATTTTAAATTAAAATTATTTTAAATTAAAATGATTGATAGTATTTTCAAGTGAATATTATTGATTCAGATTTTTAAAATTATCTGTGTAATATTGGGCTCCAAAAATTCACTGATTATTTTTTATATTAATTTATTTTGAATGTTTGGGAATTGTTACTACTGAATTATATTTTATATATAAAGGCTCATTTCCTTATTGTCGTTCCTTCTTGGTTAATTAAAGAAATAAGTTTTTGAGCTCTGTCAAAATGTAGAGATCATCTAGTTCATCCAGCTCACGTTTATAGAGTAAAGGAGCTTTCTGGGAGAGGGTGGGTGGCTGTCACCTTGAAGTTTCCAGTTGACTGAGTCAGAGCGGAGGATAGAATTGAGAAGATAGCCAGGGTCTCTGCATTCCTAAAGGAGGCTTTAACTTCTTTCTTATTTAGCCATCCA